GTCCGCTATGGCGGACTGTGTCCCTCGGCGGCCACGTCCACTATGGCGCCTCAGTACCTGCACACGACGGCTCGCATGGAATAGCGGGTACCAGCTCCGATACCAATGCAATCAGACTCGTCTCATTCACACTTTTCACGTATGTAAACAGCAGCACAGCAAACTGGCGACATGCGCCCACTCAATACTCAGAGATATGGTGCCCAGATAAGAGTTCACTTCCACTGGCTATGGCGGCTCAGCGCCCAACAACTCACTGTTCACACACTCTGGATCACCCTGGATATCCCACATGCGACACCCTGAACACTCACACAACACACACACTTCGCCCCAAGCTACAACTATGGCAGCGCTGGCTGCCTCTACCCTCTCGCTATGGCTACACTTCATCACTCTCGCCCACTTCGCCTTCGGGCCTGCTGCAGACCTCCTCGCACAAGACGCTGAGACAGCGCTTCCGCATGGCTTCCGCAGGAATGAATGAATGGCTGTGCGCGGCCTCTTGATTTATACTTCTGTGACTCGTTGGTCTGCCCTGTTTCCCTGGCCCACGGTGTACACAGTCCCAGATGGTACTTGCTTGACTGGACCGGACTGACTGGACTGGGACTGCTGACTCTGCACGGTGGACTTCCACCACTTGCCCACTTGCCTTGACCTACAGTGGGCTGACTCCGAAAGGCCGCTTCCAGAAGCATCTACTTGGCCTTTCGGTACTGTAGCAGCTACGACTCTGCCCGTTCAGGTAAGTAGCAGCTACGACTTTGACCCTTTGGAAAGTCTACAGCTAAGACGTCTGGACTCTCTAGACTCCTATCCGACAGGTCTACAGTTTGAATCCCCTATACCCTGTAACCTACGATGACCTACCTAGTACCTACCACTGGTGGTCCTACAGGTTGCGGGTTCAACTCTACGGGTTGACACAGGTACTGTACACAGGTAAGGTGGGGACGAGGGATCGAGCCCCGGGATCTGCATCTGCTACTGCGAACGGGTGAATACCGTTTCACTTCTCGTAGTTACTATTTATTTGTTTTTCTGAATAATAGTGTGAATATCACATTGCGAATTGATTCAATTGAATGATCATCGAGGTTCTTGCTCTTGGCGCCTGTTAATTCAATTTTCCTTCATCCAATTTTTTGCATGGTATCAGTCCTAGATGCATGATGTATTTGATAATGATGTTCGAAAAAGCACTGTGTGGCTTGATGAACCTTTTTTCTTCTAACCCGCACAGTAAAAAAAAGGGATACGTTCTGGTTAGCTAGCAGCAAGCCTAGAGAAAAGCAACCATGCCTCTCCCAACAGAAGTATTTTCCACATCCGCATAAGGTAGCCCCTCCTGTAGAGAGATCTCATGGCATGTCGGCCTGTGAGGCAGAGCTCTACCTGACATGTAATACGAGTTATGGCGTGCGTAGTATGCACACACCCTTCACACACACCTTTCAGGCTTTCACACACACACACACACACTATCATATGATTACTATTATGAAAGGACTTTACCACTGCAGCCAGTTCCAGTCCTAGTCCCAGTCTGCAATCCCATTGTCAATCTCAGTCACTTCTACAATCGGCATAACTGCCTAGGTACGATAGCTTTGAGTAGGCCGTGGTAGGAAGTTCGTGGTAGATAACTTTTCGGGTTGGAAAGAGTCAGCAGAAGTGTTTAGGCCAGCTGCCGGTCAGTCAAGTCAGCAGCAAAGTCACAGGAAAGTCCACAAACTTCCGGAAGCGACAAACAAAGGCAGGGCAGTGGACCCATAACCAGTAGCTGCAGTCCAAAAGGCAAGTTGTCAACTATAGAAGTCCAGCTGGGGAAGCAGTCAACACATATTCACTTACTGGCTCAGTTGAAAGAGCTGCTGCACTATTTTGGGATACTGAGGAGTGTGCTGCTTGGAGATGCTGCAGCTTGTGTTATTGCTTGGACTCTGGCTGATAATAGAGTCGTCTACAGCGCGAGGCACCCTTAGGGAGTAGTCATAGCCAAGTCCAGAGTGAGGTTGTGACGGAGAGTGAACTTGAGAGGCATTTGGAGAGAGAGACCTTGGTGAGTGAGAGAAAAGCGAGGCTCAGGGAGAGCAACCATACCTTAGAGACCTTGCTGGCAACCATAGTCATACCTTCTTGTGTAAAGACAATTCTTGAATTCTGTGTATATACTGTCCTTGAGTTGCATCTCACCTGGGCTTTGATGTGGCCGCATCATCTGGCCGGTGCATGGAGTGAGAGTGTGGTGGATGGTCGGTCTCAAAGCAATTATAACTCCTTTTTCTTGTTCTCCTAAGAGTTCTTTATTGCTGTCAACTTGCTATGTGGTTTTGGCTCTTCACGTGTTCTATCTAAGGACCGAAGTCCAGTAACTTTCGGTGTGCCAAATAGTTGGTGCCTATTTGTATAGAGTGCCTGCAACACTAGTGTAGGGGCAGCTGTGTTTTGGAAGCCTACGTCACTGTGTTGTCCACTGGTGATGGACAATCATCGGGTGGTTTCCTGCCTCTTGATGGTGGCAGGAACCTACAGTCTGCTGGGTTTTCCATATGATGTGAGTACTTGATAGCCCATTTTGTTCTTTGCTGTGTCCATGGCTTCCTATGTTGCTGGGTGTCTTGCTGTCTTGATTTCCAGCCCGCTCTCCCACCTGCTTGCTGTTCATTGCCTTGTGCCCTTGATGCTTGCCATGCTGCCTTGCTGCTTGCCTTCCCTTGCTGCCTCATTCCTTGGCTGCTCATTGTGCTGCACTGCTGCTTGCCTTGCTTGGCTGCCTTGCGGCCTCACTGCCTAGTTGCCTTGCTGCCTTGCCGCCTTGCCGCCTTGCCGCCTTGCCGCCTTGCCTCCTTGCTGCCGTCTTCCCCTCCTGCCTTGCCGTTACTGTTACTGTAACTCCTTTTTCTTGTTCTCCTAGGAGTTTCCTCTACGTTGTTGTCTACTTCTATGTGGTTTAGGATTTTCCCGTGTTTTCCCCAAATACTGAAATATAGTACCTTTAAACCGCTAGTACACGACCCCAGCCTTGCTGAAAAGAAACTCGTCGCCTACAAGTTTCTTCCGAAAAAGACAGCACAGGCGCACCGTCGATACAACAAATCGGTGGCCTGCATCGCCTACCGGATTCTGACGGGCGCCCACGGCCGATAGCTGGATGTACTTGTGCTTCAAGTTATGCCAAGAGTCGGTGCCTGTTTGTATAGAGTGCCTGCAACACTCCCAGGCGGCCGGATGTGTTTCGGATTCCTGTGTCTCTTGGTTTTCTGCTGGTCAAGTCCATCGTTGGGTGGTTCCTGCCCCCCCCCCCAGCCCGTCCACCTGCGCCCGCCCACCTGCCCTCCCACCCGCCCTCCCCCCCGCCCGTCCACCTGCTCCCCTCTGCCCTCCCACCTGCCCTCCCACCCGCCTTGCCACTCAGTGCCTTGTTCCCTCACTGCTTACTGCGTTGGCTTGCTGCTTGTCTTGCCTTGCTACCTTGTCCTCTTGCATCTTGCCATGCTGCCCTTCTGCTTGCATTGCTGCCTCGCTGTCTCACTACCTCGCGTTCTTGCTGCCTTTCTGCCTCACTTCC